AGGATGAGTTGGTCACCCTAATTACTGGTGACTGAAAAACAAACTACCTCACTCAGGAAAAGAAAAAAGTGAGAATACGCGGTGATATGCAAGTCTTATTGTTAGTTACAGGAATAAACTTGCACATGAAAAGCATCCAATTTTTTAAAACTCCACCCCCACCCAAAAGACAACCTTTTAACAAACAATATAGCACATCATAGCAAAACACAGTACTTACAAAAGACTAGCTGCTTCCTGGAATGCATTGACAGCTGCTGGAATATCCCCCATCACCAGATGTTTCTGTCCTAAACCCAACAGTTTCTTAGCTTCATTATCCACATCCAGACTGCAAGAAAAGTGGTATTTTTCAAATGTCAAATACTTTTTAAAATCAACGTTTTTTAAATACCTGTTACATTTATAAACCATTGTATTTTAACTTCTTTAAACCTTTGACCACTCCAGCAAGGTTTAGCTAACTCACATTTATCACTATAAAAGCAAAAGAAATCATAAAGCAACATTCAAGAGCTTTACTGGATTTTCTTTAAAAGGTTTATCTACTCACAAAGCCTATATTGTATGTTACTACAAATATTTGCTAATTAAGGAACAAAAAAAAATCATGAAAGAACCATATATTCATACAGCAAGTTATACTACCTCTAAGAAAAATAAATTAAGAAACATATAGGTGGGGGCGCCTGGGTGGCTCAGTCGTTAAGTGTCTGCCTTCAGCTCAGGTCATGATCCCAGGATCCTGGGATCAAGCCCTTCATCGGGCTCCCTGCTCCACAGGAAGCCTGCCTCTCCCTCTCCCCCAACTTGTGTTCACTCTCTCACCATGTCTCTGTCAAATAAATAAAATCTTAAAATATAAAACAACAAAAACAAAGAAAAGAAACATTTAGGTAGACAGGGCAAGACAGTGATCTCAATATAATATGTGGAATTGACATAAATAAACGCAAATAGATAAAATGGAACAGAGTACAAAAACAGATCCACACATACAACCACTTGAAATTTTGACAAAGACACCGAGACAATTCAATGGGGAAAGAATAATCTTTTCAACAAATGGTGCTGGAATAATTGGATATCCACATGCAAAAAAGTAAACCTCAACCTTATTATCACACCACATACAAAAATTAACTTCAAGTGGATTATAGACTTTAATATTTATTTATTTATTTATTTATTTATTTGTCAGAGAGAAAGAGAGAGCACAAGCAGGGAAGCAGTGGGGGCCCAAGGCAGAGAGAGAAGCAGGCTCCCCACTGAGCAGAGAGCCCGATGCGGGGCTCGATCCCAGGACCCTGGGATTGTGACCTAAGCCAAAGACAGATGCTTAACTGACTGAGCCACCCAGGTATCCCTGGATTATAGACTGAAAACCATAAAACTGGGGCACCTAGCTGGCTCAGTCTATAGAGCATGAGACTCTTAATCTCAGGATTGTTGAGTTTAAAACCCACATTGGCTGTAAAGATAACTTTTTTTTTTGTAGAGCTAACTTTTAAAAATATATATATAGGGACGCCTGGGTGGCTCAGTTAAGTGTCCAGCTACTCTTGGTTTCAACTCAGGTCATCATTTCATGGGTTGTGGGATCCAGCCCCAAGACAGGCTCCATGCTCAGTGGGGAGTCGGCTTGAAGATTCTTTCCCTCTGCCCCTCCCCACCACTGGTATGCTCGTACTCTCTCTCCCAAATAAATAAATCTTCGTGTGTGTGTGTGTGTATGTGTGTGTGTGTGAATAGCATATATATGTATATATGCATTTACAAAAAATAGTCAATAAAAACCTGCAGATATTCTGCAGAAGAAGGAATAAACAGAATTTAGAATACTGATTGTCAAGCTAAGTGAACTTAGGAATTATCAGGAAGTTTTTTTTTAAAAAAACACACAAGCCTGAATTCTACCTCAAGCTTAACAAATAAAATCTCTAGGGATGCAACCCATGAATCTACCTTTTGGATAAGCATCCTAGTTAACTATTATGCGTACCTCAGGTTCAGAACCATAGTCATTATCAAGAGGGGAAGTTATGTGGAAGTAGATGTGGGCACAATATAAAATTTAAAACTTTTAAACTAGAATAACATAAAATTGAAAATGGCAACCTTACAAAAGAGAGATCTAAATCAGTAGAAGTATTCAAAGAAAGAATAGGTTAGCATTTGCCAGGCATGTAACGAATAAGGAGAACTTTCAATTCTAATATTTTAATCAAATGTGAAAAACCTGGAGACATCATTGTCAGGACTCCATACTTTAAATTACAGACAAGTACCTCAATATTGTCTTTTTTTTTTTCCCCAAGATTTTTTTTTTTCCCCCAAGATTTTATTTATTTGACAGAGAGAGACACAGCGAGAGGGAACACAAGCAGGGGGAGTGGGAGAGGGAGCAGCAGGCTTCCCATGGAGCAGGGAGCCTGACCCGGGGCTCCTGACCTGAGCCGAAAGCAGACGTTCAACGACTGAGCCACCCAGGCGCCCCCTCAATATTCAGTCTTAACTGTTATCTATCAAAAATAATACTGCCGGGCGCATGGG